AGGAAAGGGACTGGGTAAAGAGGAGGGGACGAAGGAAGGGGGAAAAAGGGAAGCTGGTGAAGTGAAAGACCAGAGAAAACCCAGCTGGCTCGTGGGCCGGGATCCACGATGGGAGAGGGTGTGACTGGGCAGAGCAGAATCCCAGGGAGCTTTACTGCAGCGCAGTCAATGCACGCAGGAGAGGACTTTTTTTTTTTTTTTTTTTTTTTTTTAAAGATATTCTACAGAGTTTCTAGCAGGTCAACAAAAAAGAGGGAAAATATTTGCTTAGCTATTCTTGGTATGCACACATGCAATCAATCCAAAACTAAAGGGGAAAAGAGAGAGAGAAAAATTCAACTCCTAGGCTCCTACAGGAATTAAATGCAGGGTTTCTCTCACAGAAAGAATAGATGGTAAAATACAGAAACATGGGCTCCTGTTTGTTTAATATTTATATTACAAAGAATAGGCTAAAGCCTGTCATGCACTATTCAAATGTATGTCTTAGTTTGAAGGAATAAAGTAAATGCTACAGTTTTCACAAACGGGTTACTTTGGCTTGTGATGATAAACCACACATTCTAAATGGACTTTACTTGGCTAATTAGCACAAAAGACCAAAAGGAGTTTCGTTTACAACTTAAAATTTAAGTTTTGGGGGCTGGAGAGATGGCTCATTGGTTAAGGGCACTATCTGCTCTTACAGAGGACCCAGGTTCAGTTCTCAGCACCCATTGGTGGCCCACAGATGTCTCTAACTCCAGTTCCAGGGGACCTGCTGTTCTCTTCTGGCCTCCTCCAGCACTATAAGCAGGTAAAACACTCTGACACAAAATAAAATGAGTGAGTTTTTAAGGAACCATGTAATTCAGTTCAGAAAAAAGGAATCAGAAGTCTGCCCTTTGGGTTTAAATTCTATTCTCTGTTCATGCTATTTTCTCTGAATGTGAGTCTTCTAAAATATTTTTTAATTAAATTTTGTAAAACATAGGTAATTTTCTGAATTTCTTCTTGTGCCTATCATGCTAGACATTTGTTTTAATTGAATTATAGCTATCTACAGGATAAATACAAGGGGGAATTTTTTTTCCTGCTTTCTGTATCTATTTCAGAATCTTATTTGCAATGAGAACAAAGTACTTTTACATTGTTTAAAGATTTATTTTGTTCTTACTTCTATGCATGTGTGCCTCTGTGTGTGTGTATTTTGTATGTCCTTGTGTGTGACCACAGACACCAGGCAAGCATCAGATCCCCCACGGCTGAGGCTGTGAGCCACACAACATGAGTGTTGGGTCCCCAAAAGACTAACAAGCACTAAAAACACCTGAGGCCTCTTCAGGCCAACTCGGTATGTTTCAAGATCTGAAATAAGTAAGCCTTTTAAAAGGAATAAATAATGCAATATATTTGAATGGCTTATTTACGGTGCATTTAAATCCTGGAGTTTTGAAAAGGAGGATAAAGGTTCCTGACACAAAAGGCTTAGTGTGTGTAGCTGGAGGGATGGCACTGGGTTTAAGAGCACTGGCTGCTCTTGCAGAGGACCCCGGTTCACTTCTCAGTGTCCACACGACAGCTCACACAGTCTGTAACTCCAGTCCCAAGGAAGCTGACACCCTCTTTTGGGCTCCTTGGGCACCGCACACTCATGGTGTACATTCAGGTAGACGCATCTTCATAAAATAAAAGCCTCAAAAGAAAAATCAAGCTTAATGTGCTATAAATCTTATATTTACTGACCTTCTTGGATGGAGAACGAAATCCTTGAACGTATATGGTCTCTCCATTCTTGGGTTTTCTGTCTAAAATGAGAAAGGGGTTTAAGGACTTTCAAGATTATTGATGAACTGTAATGGAAGGCGTGACTGAAGAATGAGAGAGGCAGTTTTAACTTGTTAAGAGGGCTGGCTGGCAACCCCATGGCTATTGCTTCTTGCACAGAAGACCCACAACTAAGTGGGGAACAGGGAGGGCGGGTTGGGATGTGGGGGCAGAGAGGGAGTGTGGGGGTGGAGCGGGTGGGGGGAGGGGTGGGGAGGGGTGAGAGGTGGGCGGGAACGGGCAGGGCTGGTGGTCAGCAAGGTGACAGTGCAGTGTGGGGACAACCCTGTACAGGAGGAGCACGCGATACGCATCATGCCCGGAGCTTGGCTTCGTTAGAACGTAGAGAGAGTTCTACAGCCAAGACATAAACAGCCTGGAATGTAAGAGCAGGTCAAACATTGTGAGAGCTTATGATCACTAAAGGCTGCAGGGCCAGGAGCCTCCATCCAACAGATACAGGAGCGAGGTTTTCTCTCTTCACCCTCTGCTCTTCTCATTACTTCTCTACTCCTCTGCTACCCTCTGTGCCTTGAAACTTTATTTACTTATTTATTTGTATGAAAGTTCTCACTATAACACCAGGCTGGCATCAACGTTGTAATCCTCCTGCCTCAGCCTCCCGAGTATCAGGATCACAGGTACAGACCTGCCGCATACAACATGAAACTATTTCCTTAAAAATCCGTTACGTTCTTTTCTTGGTTCTTTTCCACTCTGTCTTCTGACTTTCCTTTGGCCCACCCACACTGGCTAAGGTTTTCTACCTGGCCCCTCATCTCTTACTTGAATAGTGAAAGCCCTCAACCCTGTTTCTTTTCCCTACACAATGTACTTGTACACTGCTACTAACTGCCCACTTTAAACTTTCATTTCTCCAATTTTATACTGAAATCAAATATGTCCAAATGTGCACCATGTGTCTAGGATCCATCAGAAGCCAGAAGAGGACCCCGGATCCCATGGGCCTGCGGGTTCTGGTGGATGTGAGCGGCTAGCTGAGTGCTGGGAACTGAACTCCAGTCCTCTTAAGCACTGAGCCATCTCTCCAACCCCCAGTGACACCTGATGCTGAAAGGCTTCCAAAGCCTTTATCACTGCTGTATTTCCAACTCGATTCTTAAGGGCTTTCACTGTCGTGAAGTCTACTTCCCGACCGCGAGCCTACGCTCTTGCTGTTCTGCTTAGGGGGATAATCCTAAACCCTTTAACTCGTCTCCACTTTGCTAACCAACCCCAGTGTTTCTTGCTGGAGCTCATGTATGGAATCTCAGAGAAGAGTGAAATGGAAAACTGAGGTGAATTTCAGGAAACAGCTTGTACACCAAACACTCACGTTAGCAGTTATTAAATTAACAAACACAAACCCCACAATCAGGGACGCCTATACTAACCGGTAAAGGATAGAGAGGGACGTCCACTTGACCTAGGAAATCATCTCTTGTCTGTAAAAGGAAGGAGAAGCAGCATTACTGATACAGTCAACGCCACCATTGCGCTTCGATGAGAACACCACTCTCACACACGAACGCCGTTGTCTGAGCCCCTGCAGCACCAGCAGAAAGTCAACGGGGAGGAGCACGAGGTGACATGCTGTGCCCCCTGGCAGGGCAGCAGTCGCAAGCCAGCCCTCCTGCAGGTAATTACTGAACACTCAGGCCAAGTACACCGGGATGGCTGCAGAAGCAGGAGGAGCCAGGCCTGAAGGAGGAGCCATGCTGGGGAGGAGCCACAGTCACACGACCACGCAGCACACATGGCACTGCTTAGTCCTTAAGCAGACATCTGCAGCGCCCTGGCTTGAGGGGTGGGAAAGCCAAGGGTAGAGTTAACAACAGAATGGGAGAGAGAGAAAGTCTCAGGGAGAAACAAAAAAAAAAGACAACGGCTTCCATGTTGAAGGTACAAGGCTCAAAGGACAGAGCACAGGCTCCAGGTAATGTTCATGAGAGGGAGACACCATTCCTAATCCAGCTAAGTCGGTTTGCTAGAATGAGAGTTTGAGTCGTCAAGGAAGGAGAACACAGCGCCCTCTGCCCGTTAACAACCACGGGCAATGAAACTTACTAGACAGGAAGCAAGGGGGAGGAAGAAGGCAGAATAGTATTTGACAAACTAAAAGCAGGCAAAGATTTTTCCATTTGGGAAAACAGAAGCTAAATTTTCAGTAAGTTCAATCAACTGACACATGGCCAATCTGAATGAAAAAGCACTCCATTATTAAATGCTGGAGGTAATGGGGGAAAATCACCCCAGACCGCTGCACGCAGGGAATAAGAACACACATGGTGGGGCTCAAGAGGTGCTGGGAGGTGGAGACTGCTTGCTGCTTCTCCAGCGGCCCCAAGGTTGGTGCCCATTATATTCCCAGTTGCCTGTACCTCCAGCTCCGTGGGGTCCTGCAGGCACACGTACGTGGCGCCCCCCCCCCACCTCTTAAATCTTTATTTCATTTTATTTTAAGTCTATGGACATTTAGCTTGCACGTATGTGTGCACCACGTGTACGCGGTGTCCAAAAGAGGCTAGAAGAGGCGTCTGATCTCCTGCAAGTGGAGCTGTAGGCAGTTGCCATGCGGGTGCCAGGAGTTGAATCTGGATCCTTAGGAAGAGCAGTCGATGCTCTTAACCATCTGGGCCATCAATCCAGCGCCCATACGCACATAATTTGAGGAAGACTACAAATGACAGCAGGTTATCCACTAAACACACTGGAAATGAGAAGACAAAAGAATGCTGTCTGTCAAGGAACCAAGGCACCTAGGCTTCTCATCTAGCAAAGAAACAACCCTCAAAACTAAAAGGGAAACAGAGAGGCTCAGGGCTGACAAAGGGACACGACGGGGCCGCCAGTCGGCTGGTAGATGAGGGAGGCAGCACTGCACAGGAGGACAGGCGCCAGGGTGAAGTTCAAGTCCAAACAGAGGGAGGAAAAGGATCAGGAACACCAGCTGTGGGCTGGGAGGCGACGCAGTGGGCCAGCTCTGCAAGCTTGAGGACCTGAGTTCAAATCCCAGGACTAACACAAACAGCTGGAGAGAGGTTCCGAAGTTGAAGAGGACCTGGGCTTCAAGTCCCAGCACCCACACCGCGGCTCACAACTGTCCGAAACTCCAGTTCCAAAGGATCCTAGGCCCTCCTCTGGGCACACAAGTGACACACAGACCTGTGTGCAAGTAAAATGCCCATACATATAAACTAACTAAACACTCAAAACTAATACATGAATGAACAAATAAGTGGGGGGGGGTGCTGCCTCTGCAATGTTACCATTCACGTGGAACCCCAGCTCTGGGGCCTCCGATGCTATCCTCCGTGGCTACACGCATACTCACACACCCTGCCCTGCACCTACATCAACACAATTAATTGCACACAAGGGTCATTTTTTTAAGGTTCTGACATACAATTCCCATGAAGTTTAACCACTCTAAGTGTGGATGGGTGTGTACCCACAGGGGTACAAGTGGAGGCGAGGGTGCCGTCACGTGCCTTCCTCTCCTCTATTACTCTGGCTTGCTTTCTGAGACAGGTTTCTCGTTGAACCTGGAGCTGACTGGCCTAGGCGGGTGGCCGACAAGCTCTCGGGTCTTCCTGTCTGTGGCAAGGCCCCCTTCCCAGCGCTGGCTTTCCAGGTGCACGCTGACACGGCCAGCTGTGGGCTGAGGGTTTCCAACCTCAGAACCTCTGTTGGTACCTCAGGCAGTTAACAGACCGAGCCATCGCCCCAGCCGTATGGTCTTTCTTTTTAAAAGCAAATAAACCTGAGTTTCGCATGCCTCTGTGTGCCTGTGTGTGTGTGTGTGCACGTGGGCTCCTGTCCTCAAGTTTCTCCAGCGCTGTCTGCCTCCCTTCCTGAAGGCCTGCCTCTCACCGGCTAGCCTGGAGCTCAGTGGCTCACAAGCCTCAGGAACCCACCTGTCTCCAAAGTGCCAAGCCCTGGGATTATAAGTCTACTGTGCCACGCCTGGCCTTCATGGGGTTCTGTGGATCAAACTCCAACTCCATGCTTTCATGGCAAGCGCTTTAAGACTGAGCCATCTGGCCAGCCTGAAGAGAGGTTTTTAAGTGATCGCTCTGTGTGTGTGCGCACACGTGCGCGTGCCCAGAGGGAAGGCACAGGCAGGTTCATGCATGCCACAGCAATGGGTCAAATCTGTGCCCTGGGTTCCAGGGACTGGACTGGGATTCCCTGGCTGTTCTGCAAGCACTTTACCCTGAGCCATCTCTCTGACCTCTGAACTGAGTTTCTGAACATCTATACAGAATAAACCAACCATGCAGAGCAGCATTTCCAGTATCATAGAAGGAACTGTTCTCCCAAGCAAACCATTTACGATGTGGTCTGAGGAGGGGAGTATGAGCGGGGGCGGGGGGCTCCCCAGCGGAGTCTAGGCACATGGCTTCTGTAGGTAAACGGCAATCCGGGGTGCTTTTTCCATTCACGAAGGAAAAGCACTCACTAGTTCACTGCTGCGGGGCAAGCGCATCTGTGATGCTCATTACCGTATCCCTGGCCAACCGCTCCACACTCGGAGCCCCGAGCATTGCTCTGCGGCAGTTATTTCTGGAGCCGCCTGCTCCAGAAGCAGACTGGCACTTGGGAAAATGTAAGTTACTTAAGGAGGCCTGAGAGTATGAGCAGGAGTTCAGAATGCCAGGCGACTCTGAACAGCATTGCTACCAGTGGACAAATCATACTCTGAGACTAGATGACACAATTTGAGGTTCTGAAAAATACCTTTTAGGATGTTAAAAAGGGGGGAAATCCAAATTTATCTTTTAAAGTAAATTTCTACGAGAATGAGAAATTTGTGTGTGTACTTGTGTGTGTGGGCACAATTCGTGTGTGCGTGCGAGTGCCTGTGCAGAGTGCATGCTGGACCTGGGTCTGCTTCTCAGAACCCCCAGGGCAGCTCACAGCTGCCTGTGACCCCAGATCCAGGCAATGGGACGCCCCTTCTGGCCTCCGCAGGCACTGCACACCTACACAGATGAGCAAGCAAAGCACCCGTGTACATAAAAGAAAACACTTACGAAGAGGCTGGGTACCACGCTGTGAACCTGCCATCCGAGCACTGGGGCGCACTGGCCGTTCAGTCTAGCCCAACTGGTGAACGTAAGGTTCAGTGAGAGCAAGAGGGGAAGACACGAGACACCCACCTGGGCCCCCCCAAGCACCCTACAAACAGGAGCACACTGGCCAATACACCAGACACAACAACACAAAAGGTAACACCACTAGTCACAGTGTGACGTCATTGCTGGACCGAGGCAATTTTCACTGCCACAGCTTCAGGTAAACAAAGCTGAAATTCATCAACTGCTGAGCTACAGGTGTGTGTTACACAGCGGTGAGCCCAAGCACACTGCACAGTGCTATTAATTTAGGGTTTGATTTTTTTAATTCTTTAATAATTACACTTTAGTCACTCATCAAGGCTTTCAGCCTACAGTTTGTGGTTTGGTTTTGTTTTTTAATAAGTTCTCTCTTTGTGTAGCCCAGACTGGATTAGAGCTTGCTATGTGGCCTGGACTTCATGATCATACGTGTGTATACAGCGTATGGTGTACATACATAAGAAAATAAAATGTCTTTAGTTTTTGTTTTTAATGCGGGACGCCCTAGCAAGGCACTTTTTAACAAAATATACTTAGAAAGCACAATTTGTTTGTTGAAGTTTTGGTAGCGTTTTCCCCAACCACCAACAAACAGTAACAGGCACAGTTCTTAGGAATGATGCAAGGGGAATCACAAAACAAAATTAATAATATAGAAAAAGAAACACAGATGCTGGATAAAATGACTGCAAACATTAACAGTGTTTGAAACTGAGGGAGGGGGGGCACTCATTTACTGCATTATTCTTCCTACTTCTTTGTGTGTCTGAAATTTTCCATAATAAAAGGTTTTAAATACTGCTGAAAATAAAGAGAATAGCTTTTAACGACACAGGCAGTTTTCGTGAGACGTTGAGGAGCAGGAGGGTAAAATTACAGGAGGTGGTATTACAGGAGGTGGAGCATGCTGGGTGTATTGTAAGGCCCATAAAAGTAATCAGAGGACCTGGAAGGCAGCTTGGCGGCTGAACTGTAGGCCTACAAACGCAAAGGCCAGAGATCCAGACTCTAAGACTATTCACACACACAGACACATGAAAAATAGAAAACAAAGCACTCCACACCTCTGGCCACAGGCTGGGAAGAGAGAGACAGGAAAGAGGGAAACTGAGTCTCCAGAAACACGGATTAATAATCTCTGGCCTTTGCTGTCCCTCAACAACGGCAACAGGAATGGACTTGACCTGTGCCGCACGCTGCTCGGCCGGGAGCATTATTCATCAGGCTGTAGTCATCCTGATGGAATTTTTCCTCCAGACACTTGTTTTTTCCTTCTGGTGTGATTTTTACCAAAATAACCTTTCCTAAGCAGCTTTCCCGGGTTG